ACTCAACACCGCTACCTCTTACCAAAAACATGAAAAGAGCGGAAAAATAAATGCCCTCCCCTATCCCAATGCAAAAGTTAGATAATTAATTTGTAGATATTAAAAAATTAGTTAAACTAATATTTGTAATAAATTTTGCATTGATTTTTTTTAAAGAAAGAACTCTCTTGGATTACTATTCCTATAGATAAAACACCCTTCAAAATATGTAATTAGTATGGTCGGTTTAAAAAAATTATAAATTTTTGAAAGTAAAGTAAATTAAGATTTTATATTTAATAGCAAGATCGTTTAACTAGCTTATATATTTACAGTTGGAGAGGCTATTAGACTATTTCGTAATAAAACATGTTTTAGAATTGAATCAAGAGGGTCATCATTAGATATGGGACTAAAGAGAATTCATTGCCTATGGGACTAATGCATCAGAGAGTCAGCTGGGAAAACAAAACGTCAGTAATAAAAATCACAAACGCAGGTTTACATTCAATTCATTATTGAAAGAAATACTCCCTCAATTAAAAAACTATACTAACTTTTTAACGTTTTAACACATAGATTATGAAATGTAATTAATACTACTTCCGATCTTTAATATAAGAGCTCGTTCGACTTTTATTTTAGTCCTAAATATAAGATTTCAATATACTTTATTTCTCTTTTTTTTTTTAAGGTAATCCTTATAATAATAGTGGTTCTAACCAATATATATTTAATTAGTAAAGATATTTTGGAAAAAAACAAAACCTATTTATTATAAATAACTAACTTAATTAATTTTTTTAATCTACTCAAATTAGTCAACTAGTTCTTATATTAAGGATTGACGGTAGTACATTTGCTAAAATACTGATCACATTGTCAACATTTTTCTCAATTAAATGACTTAAGACATTTTCGCATTTATCGTTTAGGAAAAGGGCCAATAGGAAAAATGCTAGTAATAAATACTGCTTTGAACTTCTGAAAAGGTATAAAAAAAAAAATGAAACAAGAGTTTTCTTCTTAAAACACTTATATTATATAAAACAGATGGAGTACATTAGCTTAATCTTAAGCATGTTTCTAACCGACATTAATTAATTGCAAATTTCAACGAACAACAATAACAATAGAACAAAACTGTATAATCTAACAGCTCATCAAATTATTATTTTATTTGTATAAATAAATATGTATATTAAGTAACTGGCACAGCTAGAATAGAAAGTGATTAATAATTTATTTTCCTAGAAGCTTCGGTTTAAATGTGAAGAGATTAACGTTGAGTTTTATACAATACACATCATTTTTTTTTTTGCCAGCGTACTATACACATCATATGTATTTAGATTATTGATGATATTAATATAAACTTGCAATTAAAAATATAGAGATTAGACTTAAGTTCAAAGTGACTTGGAAATACTCTTATTTATAACCAAAAAATATTTTTTAGAATACTCTAGTTTTGAAAGAAAAATTAATTATTTCTGTATCATGCAACGGTGTTTTCAAAAACTTTAATATATCTGCGTCAAATGAAAACGGTGGTCGTTTTTCCTCCAAGAATTAAGAAATATTTATAATATCACATGGGGCTAGCCTAAGAAATAAAAATAGGATGACATGGGTAAAGATTCGAATCCGAATACTTTCTATGTAACAAAAACAAGGGAAATATAGATGATACTGTTAAAAAGGGACATTATACATTTTAAAATTGAGTCATGCGTATAAAAAGAAATGGAGTGATTAACTTGACAGATCCCCCTTTTTTTAAAGGAAAAAAATCTTGGTAAGTAAGTGTTTTAGTTAGTCAGTTACTTATCTAAGCTAGTTGTAGATCTAACACATAGCGTAAAATATAAGATTCATTTTATTTTTAGTTTCTTAAGCATAGAATCATTGTGCAAAGTAAACTAGTGCTCGTGGAGTGGAAAAGTTATACGCAGCCAATAAATTGAAAGGTAAAAAAAAACTAAATAGTTTTAAGTTTAAATTCTGAAAAAATCCTTATTTGGAGGACTTTAATTTTAAACATTTTTTACCAGACAAAAATTAAGCTCAAATTCTAAATAATTTTGAGATATCTGCACAGGAAAAAATAAACTATTTACTAGTTAGTTGCAAGAAAATCAACTCAGTCTCCTTTAAATATCGAATAATTCACGAGGAAATTCGAATTTTCTCTGTTTAGGATCTGTCAATATTTAAATTTGAACAGTGAGCAATAATAAAAACCATATATTTGTTTGGATAAAAAATATTCCTCCGGTCCTAAATGTAAGACTCTTATACACACTAGTATAAGGGTCTTATATTTAGAGCCGTAGGAGTAAGAGGATAAAATTCAAACACAAGTGGTGAAGCAATTCAAGACGAGGACCTTCATAATCCTGATATGACAAAATCAGAAACTGTCATTTCTCTTAACATATTTATTAATTGTTGAAAAGAAAAATGATGATTGTAAAGGTTGACAAGAAACCATACCAGCTCAGAATCAAATTTCGAATTTCAACTGGGTTAGGTTTCTCCAAAATGGTTTTCCCAAAATGATCACTCTCTGCTTTTGGGAAAAGATGACAATTAAAAAAAATATTAATTAGATTAGAGGATCGGAAGCTAAGATTTTCTGATGGAACATCCATTAACACCAGATGCATGGATCAGGTTAACGAGGAACTCATACTCAAGCATATACCTTGGAAAATGACATCAAAGTTGAATACTTTCTTCATTCTCGTTGCAATACTGTTTTAAACATTGTCAAGTATTAAACATGGATATCTTTTTTAATAAGAATTCAAACTTAATTGTCGGGCACTCAAGTGAGCAACTCAACAAAAATTAGAATCTTGATTCATGCACGTTGTTAGAAACTATCTTCTCCGCTAAACCCAATTTTCATTGATAATTATCCTTGTTGAATGTACATGGTAAGAACATTTTTATAAGAGATAATTCCAATACAAATGATTAAAGAAAGTAATTTAGAAATCAACACATGTTTTTTTATAAATAACTAATTTAATTAATATTTGTAATCTTTGCAAATTGTTTATAATCGTTACTAATTAGTCATCCACCTCCTATACCTATATTAATAACAGCTTGGGCATTGCGTGTTAATCCCAAACTTTGGCTTCCTTGTAAAGTTCCACATTTCTTGCAAATTCAAAAACGACGGCCAATTTTTATATATGTTGCTTCCCTATCTGCTCTGCTGCTTATTCATATGTTGAGGGAAAAATAATCTTATCCATGCATATGAGGATTTTGATTTCTTAAATAAAAGACAAAAACTCTCAATTTTAAACACAAAAAAGAAGTCATCTTGGCATCTTTGAATAAAGAAAACGATCCTTTTTGTTTTTTGGGTATTAAGTCAAACCTTTAACTTGGCCGACTAATGGGAGCCTAAAGAACACTCGCAGAAGTCAGAACTCATACAGCGTGCTGTATTCAAATTTGAAACCACAGAAGTTGCGTGTCAGTGTTGGGCCATTGAACTCAGACACCAAAACAAAACTGTGTGATGCGAGCAGGCTGTAGTGGTCAAAACATGAAATTCTCAAATGAAAATAAATAAATAAGTAGTTTCTCAAATGAAATAATTCTGTTGGGACTCTTAGGAGGAAGAAATAGTCCAGCTCAGAGGGTGAGAAATGCCAACAGCATCCTTATAGAAATTCTTCTGTGCTGATCTTTCTACATTAGTGCAAGGATTTTTCCAACTAAGATATGTTTGGATTAGTGGAAACAAAGCTGATTTTCATTTCATCTAACTTTTATAAAAATCAGTTAGTACAATATGATTTACGTTTAGATTGACATTTCTAGAAAAATCAGTTTGAAAAATTAAAACTTGTGTGAATGCATTATAAAAAAATAAGTTTAAATATAAAATGACTGAAAAAGACACAAGTTTTTATATAATACTCAATTAACTAATTTAAAAATATTAAATAAATTAAATAAATTATTGTAAAGTATTTAATTTAATTAATTTATTTGACTGATAAACTAATATATAATTTAATGACATACAAAAATATTTTAGAGAGATCATAAAATATATAATAGAATTAAGTAATTTATTTAACTTTTTTAATATGTTCAAATTAATCTATTAAGATCTTATATTGAAGAGCGAATGTGACATATCAAATATATACAACTTGTAAATATTTAAAAACAAATAATTATATATATTTAATAAATAAAAATATAAAAATTACAAATAACAACAAATAATTAAAAGATTAAAAGTAACAGAAAATCTAATTAAAAAGTCTCATTAAAAAAACCTTCGAACACAACCACCTAAAAAACAAAAAACCTTTAAACACAGCCCACATTTACATAGTACGACAAGAGAGGGGAGAGGCTTCATTCAGAGAAAAGAAAAGAGGACAAATCTGGAAATTAGTCATGCAACACAGCGCAAACCAACGCACCTAACGCAGCTTCAGCCCTAGCACAGGTTACGAAGCAAAATAACTTCTGAGCTACTGCTGATCCAAACAAGAAAAATTTGACTAATGTAGCTTTTATCTTTTGATAACACGTTTGGGGTGGCCCAACACCATTCCAAACAAAGCCTAAGGAGGTGTTTGGGAAGCCTAATAAACATTTTTCAATAACATTTTTTCACAAATCGAGACAAATTCCTTCGTACATTTACCTCATATACTGTAAAAACACTTTTAAAATCATGATTTTAATTTTACCCAAACACTTTTTAAATGTATATGGGGCGTCAGCAAAGAAAACGCTCATATTTTCTCCTGTATCTCATCTAGGACTCACATTTAACTGGTTCAAGGGTAAGGATAAGGTCCTCGGATGGAAAACCTGACAGGAATTTGAAAGTAACAATAATTCTTACCCTTGTAACTCATCACCACATTTCGTAGGACATTGAACAAATTGAGTTTTGTTTATCCATTACAGAAAGTTGTCCCAAGTAATACCTGGGCGTTCCCCAATTCCCAGGAACATTTGACACTGATGACTTGGCAAAAATATGTATGTGAACCGTGAAGGTTGCCCCTTTAATTGCAACCTATTCACCAAAAAAAAAAAAATCTAGAAGCCAAAACTTTCATCTTTAGTATACAGTACAACAAAAATTTCCCTCAGGCCACCGCAAATAATTATAAATTAATAAGATTTATTGCCTAGCCTCTCTTAATCCAACTAATATGTGACAAACTCCTAGCTCCTGCTTCAGAGGATAATAAGCAGTAACAAATCAAATCATAGCCACATTCAGATGGCATGGTCCAAGAAGGTGAGAGCCTTGTTCAGTGCTTCTTGTTCTTCTTTCTTCCTTTCACTTGTTTCTCTAAGCTTCTGATCCTCTGACTAAGAATAGATGAAGAAGATATCTTCTGACCTGGAAGTTTCGATTGTTCAACTGGAGACGGGTTTGATTCATTGGCTGCTTCGGAATCTTTCTTTGCTGTCGGAAAAAAAGAGAAGGGAGATTGTGGTGCGTTGGTAGGTGCAGCAGCAGGCATTTTTGGAATGCGCAACGCTTCCTTAACGCCAGGAACTTTAAGCGCTGAAAAATTCATACACAAAAACACACTAACGATTTTATCTCATCCGTTATTTGAAATGATTTCAAAAGAACTTAATTGCACGACTGAAAATTTTTTTACAAATTAGATCCTAAAAAGAACAAGGTCAGTCGCAAATTATTTTCTAACAAATTGCAGATCTAGGAAGATATAAGTGTTAAATGCCTGGGAAAACAATTTTAAATTATTAGGAGTGAATTGACAGCATTTAAGTAATTTATGTAAATTTGTCCTTTAAGTAATTTTAAATTATTAGGTTGAAAATCGTTTAAGATGGTTTGGACATGTGCAGAGAAAACCATTGGAGGCCCCGATGAAGAAGGTGGATCAGACAAGATGGAGTCCCATAAAAAGGAACAGAGGAAGACCAAGAAGAATGCTTAATGAGGTTATTGAACGAGACCTCCTAGTCAACATATCTAAGGATTGGGTTGTTGACAGAACACGATGGCGTCGTGTGATTCATGTAGCCGACTCCACTTAGTGGGATAAGGCTTGTTGTTGTTGTTGTATTGAAATTTTAAAATGTTTTGGTGCTTTACTGGAATTCACATTCCTCAAGCAGAATTGAGGCCATAGGAGTACCAGGAGATAGGTTTTGCTTCAGAAGGACCAATTTTCTTAAAATACTACGAACTTTGTGACCTTGAAATGTGGTCGTGAAAAACTCACTTGTAATGAAATCAACAAAACAATGGGGAGATCAACTGACCAATAGTTGAAAGTGACCGTCCAATTCAATTAGTCATGAAAACGAAATATAACCAGATGCCTTGCAAGGCAATGATTAAGCATGCATGTCACAAATAACGTAAAGAAAACCATTCTGCCCCTTTAAAGAACCTAAAATGCCTTACCGAGTCCGTATCCAAGTGAAAACAAATTTGATGTAATCCAGTAACAAAATATAGCCTGCGAAATTACACA